TTTCTCTCTCTTATATGTATAGAGGGAATTTTTTTGAATCTTCACTTTACTCGTCCTGGATCTCATCCGATTACGCACAACAATTGTGAGTTTTTTATTTATTATTTATTGTTTTTAGTGATTTTGCGCTCGTGTTAATTACGGTAGATCTGTTGTTCTTCGTTTCGCCTTTAATTTGATGTTTGTCGCCGTTTATTCAGATCTGTACAATTTTATTTTTTGTTTGCTTCTGTTTGTGTGATTACGATTCTAGTTTTTCTGTGTAAATTTAATGATTGATTTTGTCCGTATTTGGTTGGATCCTAATAACAGTCCAGTTGATTTTTCGAAATTTTGTAATTTTAAATTTTGAATTTTTAATTTGAGCCTGTGTAATTACTTCCCTAATTTGGTTAAATTTGTTTATAATGCTGAACGATTTTTTGTTTGATGATATCAATTGACAATTATGAAAACGGATTAGAGATTGCTTTTTTTTTTTTTGGGATCGAATTTGGTGTTAGATTCTGAGTTTTGACTGAGTTTTTCGCCCTTGCAGATCAAGCAACAATGTCGACATTCACACCGAAGAACATCCTAATCACAGGTGCTGCTGGATTCATCGCATCTCATGTTGCAAACAGGCTTGTACGAACGTACCCGGGATACAAAATCGTCGTCCTCGACAAGCTCGATTACTGCTCCAATCTCAAGAACCTTCTCCCATCGAACTCTTCTCCCAACTTCAAGTTCGTTCAGGGTGACATTGGCAGCGCTGACCTGGTCAACTACCTTCTCATCACCGAAAACATCGACACTATTATGCACTTCGCCGCCCAGACCCACGTCGACAATTCGTTCGGCAACAGCTTCGAGTTCACCAAGAACAACATTTACGGGACCCACGTTCTTCTCGAGGCCTGCAAAGTCACCGGCCAGATCAGAAGGTTTATCCACGTCAGCACAGACGAGGTCTATGGCGAGACCGACGAAGATGCTGTTGTGGGCAATCACGAGGCCTCGCAGCTTCTCCCTACAAACCCGTACTCTGCGACAAAAGCAGGTGCTGAAATGCTTGTTATGGCTTACGGTCGATCTTACGGGTTACCCGTGATTACGACCCGTGGGAACAATGTATACGGGCCGAATCAGTTTCCGGAAAAGTTAATTCCCAAGTTCATCCTTTTGGCTATGAGGGGAAAGACTCTCCCGATTCACGGCGATGGTTCGAACGTTCGAAGCTACCTCTACTGCGAGGATGTGGCGGAGGCGTTCGAAGTGATTCTCCACAAGGGGGAAGTTGGTCATGTTTACAACATTGGGACAAAGAAGGAGAGGAGGGTGACAGATGTTGCGAGAGATGTGTGCAATCTGTTCAACATGGATCCGGACAAGAGCATTCAGTTTGTGGAGAACAGGCCGTTTAATGATCAGAGGTACTTCCTCGATGATCAGAAGCTGACGAATCTTGGTTGGTCGGAAAGGACCACGTGGACCGAGGGTTTGAAGAAGACCATGGAGTGGTACACCAGCAATCCCGATTGGTGGGGTGATGTGTCTGGTGCACTGCTCCCTCATCCAAGAATGCTGATGATGCCAGGTGGACTGGAAAGGCACACCGAAGCAGCTGCGAAGGGCGAATCTGGAAAATCCGATTTTTCTCTTAGCCAGTCGAAAATGCTGGTTCCGAGTCCCAAAAGCAGCGCTTCGCCTCACAAACCGGCTTTCAAGTTCTTGATCTATGGCAGGACTGGGTGGATTGGTGGTTTGTTGGGTAAACTGTGTGAGAAACAGGGGATTTCGTATGAATATGGAAAGGGGCGTTTGCAGGATCGTGCGTCGATTTTGGCGGATCTTGTTGCTGTTAAGCCGACGCATGTTTTTAATGCTGCCGGTGTGACGGGTCGACCCAATGTTGACTGGTGTGAGTCTCACAAGACTGAGACTATACGCACAAATGTTGCTGGTACTTTGACCTTGGCTGATGTGTGCAGAGAGCACGGGCTATTGGTGGTCAACTTCGCCACTGGCTGTATTTTCGAATACGATGCTGCTCATCCGGAAGGTTCCGGAATCGGGTTTAAGGAGGAAGACACGCCCAATTTCATTGGCTCTTTCTATTCAAAGACCAAAGCCATGGTAATTTCAAACAATATATATATATATTTTAAATATTATCTTTCCTAAAATGTACTCTAAATTTAATTGTGGACCAGGTGGAAGAGCTCTTGAAAGAATACGACAACGTGTGCACGCTGAGAGTTAGGATGCCGATTTCTGCTGACCTGGACAACCCGCGAAACTTCATCACGAAGATTTCCCGTTACAATAAGGTGGTCAACATTCCCAACAGCATGACAATCTTGGACGAGCTTCTTCCGATTTCAATTGAGATGGCAAAGAGGAATCTCAGGGGGATTTGGAACTTCACAAACCCTGGTGTTGTTAGCCACAACGAGATCTTGGAGATGTACAAGGAGTATATTGACGCCGATTTCAAATGGTCAAACTTCACCCTTGAAGAGCAAGCAAAGGTCATAATTGCCCCTAGGAGCAACAACGAGCTCGATGCATCCAAGCTCAAGAAAGAGTTCCCTGAGCTGCTCTCGATCAAGGAGTCACTGATCAAGAATGTGTTCGGACCGAACAGGAAAACCCCCAAAACTGCTGCATAAGTGCGCGTGCGTTTCGAGATTCTCAACCCGTGAGCTTCTTTATACATTTTGTGTTAGTTGATATACAACTGGTTGATTATGTATGTTAGTTTTTACTGGCCTAAATCTTTATTTGGTGCCGTCTTTCGTTTTTTTTTCTTAGAAACTACATCGGTGAAATTTGTTCTGGTGGCAGATTTTTGCCAGATTTTTACAGTTTGATAGGCTCATGCATATGTACTGAGCTTATAGTGTTTTAAAAACTATCAAGTGAAGATTATTGCACATCATATGAGTGCAATTCTTTTCCTTTTCTTTTTATTTATTTCATAATTCTTATTTCTTAATTTTAACTTGTTAAGTGTTTTTCAAAATCTGTCTTTTTAATTGTATTAATTGTATGTTCTTTCAAGTCAAGTATAAATAAATACAAATGAAATATAATTACCATCTATGAATACCACGGTATACCTATTGAATACGGTATACCTATAAAAAATTACCAAAACTTCGGTTACCACTATATTTGGTACGGTATTGGTATCGTACACAAGTACACCACTATTATACGGTACGGTAGCAGTATTGTATTTTTAATACCACGGTAATACCGTACCGTACAATAAATTCGAATTTTATAATTTAACTAATCTATATTCTTTTATATTGGCTAATAATTAATAAATATTAAAATTACTACATAATATAAATAGGTCAAAACTTACAAAATTGAGTTCCTAAAAAATGTTTTGTGAGACAACATTGAATTTTGGTGAAACAAAAAGGTGTACATCTCATTTGATTTTCACTAGAATAGTGGGGCTGCAAATTAAGATTGAAAAGAAAATTCCTGACTCTATTAATCCTATTTTGCAAAGTGTGCTAAATAAATGAAGTTGACGTATGATAAATATTGGGAGAGGTATGAGAAATTGAATACGATCGTATATGTAACGAATTTAAATGTTTTCTAATTTTATTATTAGTTGTTAAGCAACGTTGTTTAAACTTACAAAAACGTGTTTGCTCTTTTATTTTAAAATGCATCTTTTGGAGTCAGGAGGGGGAGTGAAGCGACGCCGTTTTGGAGGAGAGCATGAACATCATAATATTATGCAAACAGTGTGTTCTGAACAGTGCTTAAGGACCGTTGTTTCTTTGCTATAAATAGACAGATCCAGACTGAGAATTGGCAAGCATTATCACAGTACTCTAGTCTAGCTTAATTAAAGTAGAGTTACAACGGTGTTCTCGTTTCTTTATCTCCAAGTTTATCCAATTTGTTTGAAGATTGTAAACCCTACTTTCATTTTGAGTGAATACAATCTTTCGGCTTTAGTTCATTCCATAATTGTGAGTTATATTGAGAGTGATTCGTGACAGTATACATAACCATTGTTATTGATTAAAGCGTTAAAATCTTTTATTGTGTTTTCATAAAGATCGCCTTATTATAATTTATATTATTCAAAGGATAATAATTTTAAATTAATGGTAGAGTGCCACTATACGGTTATACCGCATCGAAAATAACGGTATACTACAATTGTTGGCACGGTTTAATTTTCAAATACCAAATGATACACTAGGTACAAAGATATTGATCAAAATATCCGGCGACTGTACCAAAACCACCCCTACATCAAACAGTTGAAGATTTAACCAATACAATTCCAATAAATTTAAGGCGGCGGTTATATGCAAACCCATTTTTTTATTAGTTCAAACCCACATGAAGGAGTTTATTAGTTCAAGTCCGTAAATTAATCTAATTTTATTACATCAAGACCAAAGATGACAAATATACCCATATCCACAAATAATACTCAAATACAAATAAATCCTATTTTTAATTTGTTCAAGACCAAAAATCAAAAAATAAAAAAAATAATAAAAAATAAAAAATAAAGATAAAAAATATATCACGACTGCCGCCGCCAGACCGCCGCGACGCCGACCAGCGAGACTTTCACCACACCGGCGATGATCAGCGACCCACCCACCGCACCATTACCACCACCGCACCACCCCCAACAAGCTAAGTAAGTCCTTTTTACTAAACTTTTGTTTGTAAATTCGAAAACATTAATCGAGCATCGATGTCCTTTTTACTAAACTTTTATTTGTAAATTCGAAAACATTAATCGAGCATCGATTCTCGGTAAATATGTATGAATGAACATTAATCTATGTTTATTTCTTGCTGGGTTGCAATGCTTTGGCCTATTTTGGAAACAAAATTGAGATTGAAATTGGTGTTTTTTTTTTCTTGGTTTCCCAAATCGGTTTACCCAGACCGATTTTGTACACTAAAATCGGCGTCATAATGCCGATTTTTGTTAACCAAATCGATGACACAACGTCGACTTTACAAGTCAAAATCGGCGTTCTAATGTCGATTATTGAGTACAAAATCGGTTTTCGGATACCGATATTTTTTGGATTTTTTTTAAATAATACATTATTTATTTGGTTAATTGATATTTTTTAAATATTTGAAACGAAAATGTTTATCACAATCCGGTGGCGTCTACCAAATCCTTTAACCCAATCGAGTAGAGCTTTCTGTGTCTTAAATATTTATTCGTTAGATAATTCATTTGAATAATCCTCCATCAATCCCCTAGGTTGTTGCACGAAAGTATGAGAAAACGGTCTTAAAAAAATTTACACAGATAATAAAATCGGTACTTAAAACCCGATTTTTGTAGTACAAGTCGGCATGACAATACCGATAATACAAAAACAAATCGGTGTTGTCATGCCGATTTGTACTACAAAAATCGGTTTTTAAGTACCGATTTTTATTAAAATAATCGGAATGTGGTTACCGACTTCAGTAACAAAAATCGGTATTTGCAGACCGATTTTTGGTATCGTCGATTTTTTTTCCCAACAAAAAAAAAACGACCCAAAACCAAAAATAAACGGTTAAAACATACTTCATTGTGTTTTTCTCCACCCTCGTAAACCACCATATCATTCTTTTATGATTCCATCGTGAATGTTTGGTATGTATTTGATAATTTTGGTGTGTAGAATTTCTTGGTGGGTTTGTGGAGAAGAAGGAGGAGATTTTTAAGTGGTGAAATAAAGAAGAGGGGTTTCTGTATTTACGTATTTTATTTGGTCTTGCACAAAGGAAATGATTTTTTTTATTTTTTAATATTTTGTGTTTTTTATTTAATTTTAAATTTCATTAAAGATAAATTAGTATTTGTATATTGGAGGTCTTGAACTAATAAAAAAATGGGTTTGCATGTAAGCCTAAATTTAAACACAACATTATACAGAATTAAAGTCCAACAAGCACATATAATTTCCACAACAGTCAACACCAACTTCTATTGATTAGGCCCATATCGAAATTCATTTTTTTGCTACAAAATCACTTTAACACTATCACCTATTAGATCAAAACCCAAATTAACTATTAAAAAAGAAGAACAAGAAAAAAACAAAAAAACAAAAAAAAAAAAAAAAAAACAACAAATAAACCTAAAACAAACACACATCCATAAGAAAAGGCATACGATAACCATAAGAGCATCTTCAAGCACCGGTTCATCATTTTTTTCATCAAATCTCATTTTTTTTAATGAAAAAATGGATTCATGGCCTATCGGTAGTATGCTATTGTACCCTTCCCCATTTTTCTGTGGAAAATGATGTTTTTGGTCTCCTACAAATTTCGTTAAATTTTAGACCATATAATAAAATAATAGTACTCTAGGTTGTCCTATTACAATTTTAGATGCATTAACTTTGCAAACCCGTAAAAAATTATTAATATAGACACTTAAAAACTATAAGTGCTCCTTTAACTTGTTCTATAAATTCGTCCACTCACGTGACTCAACTCCCGGCGAGTTAGATGTCAAATTTATGTAAAACACGTCAAGTTTATTTGTCGTCTCATCAAATTAAAAATTTATGCAAAATATGATTAAAAAAATACCATATTTGCAAAGTTATTACATATAAAATTGAAAAAAATTGACATGTTAGAGGATAAAATCCCTAATTAGACCAAATTCCTAATTCTTCATATAAAACCCAAATGTCACAATTCCCACCACTACAGACAAAAACTATGTGTGAACTCTGAAATGATTAACCTCTTTTTCTTTGAGCTAAGTGATGGATTACATATCCCAGTCCATTTTTCATGTCAGAATATTTCTAACATTTGCCAGTTAATCTTCATTCACTAGTTATAATTTGAGATGAACATAAAAATGAATCTATATATATATATATATATATATATATATATATATATATATCCATATCTATATATGTGTGTGTGTGTGTGTGAGAGAGAGAGAGAGAGAGAGAGAGAGAGAGAGAGAGAGAGAGAGAGAGAGAGAGAGAGAGAGAGAGAGAGAGAGAGAGAGAGAGGAATGTTGACTTCCTATATATGCATATTATGAAGCCAAGGTTAGATAGAGATCAGGTTTTCTGGCAGTTATTAGCAACTAAACCTAAAACATTACAAAGGGCTTATAGACTCTACTCCCAGAGAGCTAGGCTAGGTTATATGCTAGGCTAGGCTAGGCTAGGGTAGGGGTGATTTGATAGAAGAATTTGATCAATTATTATCTGAAGCATGGCAAACTCAGTATGAAGAATTGGAGGGTGATGCTCCAGCTGCTGCAATCTCCTTGATAAAGCTAACCACATCTTCCGAAGAGTTGATCAGATATCGAGCATGTGTACGTGTTCTTGCAACTGCACAAGAGAAATAGTTCTCCGACTTGAGATCGACTACGTTCCAAGCAGTCTCCTCCTGTGTTGACCGCCTGCCGCTCCCTGAGCTGCTGCCGCCGCTCGATCTCCTTGAGCTGTTGCTTCTCCCGACAGTTTGAAGCTTTGGTGGAGTCGGCCTTTTTTCACTCCCATGTCTGCTTGTTGAGTCTGTTGATTTTGATCTTGATCCACCCATTGAATCTGGAGGAAGCTCGGGTTCGAAAAATGTGTAGATGTCTTCATCCTGAAATGAAATTAAGCAAACTCAGAATATTCAAGATATAGGATTTCATATTTTAGAGAAATTGAAGTAAATAATAAAGGACATTGAGTTTTAGTTCTGAGTTCTAACTTTACTTGATTCTACTCTTTTCAAGAAACAAGACTTCCAAGTAATTCTTTTTATAACTGCGAGTTATTGGTACGAGAGAGGTTATGTAATGATTTAAAACTCCTAGAGATTAGAGATCTCCTGAAGGTGTCATTGAATTATATTTCAGTGGTGCTCGACAGCTGCGGATAGGCCGATGAAAAAAATAATTTCACTATCATGCATAGTATCTAGGTTCGACACGAATGCAAATAGAGATAGAAAGCTCTTGAGAAAAGATGAATTAAATCTAGTATCTATATTCTACACGTACGCGATAAACCGCTATTAAACCTGATTTAGTTACCTAGAATTACTTTAGTTACATAGTTGAGATGGAAAAAAATAGTCTGATGGGATTTTCATCCAGTTTCTGACACTACCTACAGCTAGTCACTTTCAACAAAACAACGACCGTAAAACAAAAATAAAAAATACACGAGTTACTCAACTTTTTATTAAGAGAAAGAATATAGAATATACCCTTTCCAAGAAATGCCCTATGCATAAGACATAATCTATCGGTGAGCTCATGCCTTTACTATGAACAACCTCACCAATTATACGATCAATAGCCGCTCCCTGTGAAGCAAAATGGCCAGAAAAAAGAAATCAATTGTTATTAAAATTAAAAACAAAAAAGTACATATATACACTTACTAGGTATAGTAATAGATACCTTTGTAACCCCAACTGCTCGCACCTCAACCGAGCGGCTTCCTTGGACAACATCAACGGATGAATTAGATATCGGGCCAGTCCAAAGATGCTGCAGCATGTCCATAGCTTGCAATCTTCCAAATTCAACATCTGAAGAAAGAATGTAAAAATTAGGGGGGAAAAAAAGAACATTCTAGAAAAAAGGTACGAATCGAAGAACCTCAACGACATAATTGAACTCCTTCACCTGAATATTTGTAGTTCCACACAAGTGAAGTATGCCTTTCCTCGAAAATCGATCTTGGGGTTCTTTCAGTGAAGTACTCAAAAACATGCTGAAATAGTTGCCAAAAGCAGCAAGTTCTTTTTTATTTTTACAATATTCGGATAAAAAGATGTTTTGATGATATAAATACCATTACACGTACCTTTACACTATCGACCCAATCCATATTTAAGTTCTCAGGCATTGTGGTCATCCAATCTCCTTTCGTGGATCGTAGAAACATACCATGCTCGGCTGCCAACCACAAGTCGTGCTCCCAGAAGTTCTGCACAACCATAATTGGATAAGATACAGAGCAGCGACTCAAACAAGGAAAGACCGGAGAATAATAGACGACGCACATCATCCAGAACATTTCTGTCACTTCCACTGAGGATCAGCACTGTTGTTTTTGGATCACTACAAAGCATTGTCAGAGGTTGTTTTAACTCGGGATGTAATTTAAGCTCCATCTCTTTTATTTGATCTCTCCCTCTTCTTTCAGGAATATCATATGGTTCAGTCAATGCAGCATTAAAACCCTGCACGATAGTCGATAAATAGGTTAAAAGTATTTTATTTATATAATGCTAGAATTAATACCTTACTGCCACCTTTTCTCAAAAAAAAAAAAAAAAAGAAAAGAAAAGAAAAAAAATAAAGATCGACGCGGTTTTTTCCGCTACTGATACTTTCTTTTATTAGGAATCAGATTTACAGTTTCAGAATAGATGATTTTATTACTTAAGAGACAAAATTATGATATGCTCATCTCAGCATGAAACTTCATTCATAGGAGAGATCACTAAATATATTTCAAATGTATACAATTGCTTCAGCTAATGATAATCTCTACTTGTTTCCGAAATCCAACCCTCCAAACCAATCCTTTACAAATTATTATCTATGACAGATGTGGATATAGAAAACAGCCACCATGTTCGGAAAATACCATGATATCATCTCTAATAAAATAATCATCAGTAATTAATGCTTGTTCTACCACTATAAGAACAGCAAAAAGGTAATGAAGATAATGATATATGGTCGGAGTAGGTTCCTACAGTTTTCGAACCCCACCTTTTTTTTTTGGTTATCTTTTCATGTGAGACTTTATTCAATGAAAATTTCACTGGTTTTATTCATCGTAGGCACTAATATGGCAAGTTTCATGGACATAAACCAGTTCAAAAATTCTGAATCAAAGACTGCAACTACTTAATTGCAATTTACTTTCACTACGAAACTAAGAAATGCAGCACTTCACATTAGATCGCCGACCAACATTTTTTCATTCAAATCATTTGACACTTTGTAGTTAATTAACCTTAGTGGGTGGTCGATCACGTAAATCTCAAGGTTAATTATTAAAGGTGTACCACTTCAAAAGCTGGTTATTCACAGGAGGTATATTCCCAAATGTTAGATATTGTCCGCAAGTAAATATTTCCCACAATAGGCTAGCTACAAAGCAGAAGAATATCGATTTGAAAAAGTGTTCTTAATGCTTATAGTACCGCTTTAAATAACAGAAACTACAGCATTAGCATCAAGACATATAAGTGAAGTCCATGAGCATACTTTAATCTGATGCTTAGTCTGAAATTTAAGACTCAGTAAGTGAAATCGAGCGTACCAGTATCAGTAACCGATTGTCCGACTCCAAGTAACGCCTGATTGCATCACCGGCAAGAAGTTGAGGTGGAACTATTCTTATTCTCTGCTGAGCTTCAATAACAGTATCGTTCAGTTCACTGCAAGCATCAACCAAGGAATGCTTAGGTTTCAGGTAAACCACCGTATAAACAATTTTGGTAATAACAGCTAAAAATCTTAGTTCTGGGAATAAATAGAGTAAGATCTGGCCTTCATTACTGTATTAAAAACAAAAACGCCACGACAAATAACTTAAAGCAATCTGGAACAGCTGGCAACTGTTATCCCATTATACGTCACCGTTCGAGAGGTTTGCGACCAGCAATAATGAAATTTTGGCAAAATTTCCACGAATGTTTTATATAAATAAGCATCAAATTAATGATGTCAGATTTTGCATCTTAAACAAACAAATATGAATGAATGGAAACAAGTACTTTATAGTCTAAGACTTGTTAAAAACCTACCGGACATGTCATGCTAATTGCTAACATGGCCAAGATTCTCTGATTCCAAATTAGTTAACAGTAAAAAAAATTCATCCAAATAAATAGCCAGCGACGTGCCTATTTATTAACTAAAATTTGGCTTCATTATTACGACTTATGAGGTTCTAAGTTATACCTGCATATATTAATTATCCGTCTCGGAATATCAAAACATTTAGTGAAGTGATCTGTCAATATGGTTACATTGATATTATAGCTAGCCGAAAAAAAAAGACATAGATTCCATTTACATGCTTAGCATCATACCGTAACTCCTCTTGCAAGTAAGGGGACATTACTTAAACATTTCAATACGTATCTTCCAATATTCATCATTAAACATGTTTTTGCCATTAGCACCATACTAAAATGAGAAAATTGTGTTGTTTGACAACTAGTTCAAAGAATATTTTATTCGTCATAGATTAGCCAGAATGGTAAACGATAACCAAGGAGAACGTGTATATTTTCCATAGTCTCATTTATATACTTCTATTTAGAGCTCATTCATCCGGTCTAGATATTGTAAGAAGTAGTCAAAGAACGCAAGAGTACTTACCAAAGCAAATTCAGCAAGCAACTATGACAAAAACAAAGTCATCTTTGTAAAGAACAAACCAACTGTCAAATGATTGCAAATCACTAGCATCGACACTTGAACACAAATTAACTCCAAGTAAAAATATTTAGCTGGAAATAACTTCGCATAGAATTTGTCTCCACTACGTAAGTGAATGGAAAATACTTCACATGGTTCTTAGCACACTATATATAGAATTTTTTTATATGTTCATGGTATTCGACTGCTTATCATCTAGTTGCACAAAAACTCCCATGTACATTTACTTACATCTGAATGTGTTTATATATTCTTTTTCACTATATACTCGTTATTAATCCCTTTCAACATTTTAGTATTTTCCCTACTAGACTTTAGGTGCAACTAGTTCTCCAGATCAAAAACATTACCAAGTCCACCGCTATTTGGTTTTCGTAACTTCGAACATTTGAAGAGGAGAACGATTTATTTCCTATGTTCATTAATTATCATAAACTACATTAACTTAGATGATATAGCTTTGATAGGACATTCTCAAAGAGGATAGCGGTGAAATCAAGATACAATAAATATATGATGACTATCATAATAATTAAGATAACCTATTAGATAAGTACTACTAATTAATAGTAAACTAAGCATAATGTTCAACTATCACATGTTATGCTACAGATTAACCGTATTACACGTATATTGGTTTTAATTCATTAATATATATATGTAAATGTAAATTTAAATATTAAGCTTACTAAATCTCAAATTAATTAAGATCTCTGTACAATTCCTTGAGTTCCTTCTATGTACATCATTCCCACCATTTATCAGGAATATTCAAATACGTGTTATTATTTACACACCTTACGAAGACTTCAGCCCACTTTTGAGCAGTATGAGTTGTTACATGCACAAAGTTATGATGGTGGCGTTTCTCTCTTTCTTCAGCAGGCATATTCAGAGCTTGGCCTATTGCAGCAGCAACTTCTGTTATGTTCCAAGGATTTATAAGAATCGCTCCAGCTCCAAGAGACTGTGCTGCTCCAGCAAACTACAAGTATACAAAAGCATTCACTAATTGTACAGGAGAAACCAAAGCATAATCGTAATCAAACAATCAAAAGAGCAAATGCAGATTGAAAAATTTAACATAGTTCGACAAATAACAAATTTACGGTAATCATTGGAAACATTAGGTGGTATCGACTATCGCCAAGTAAAGGTTTAGAAGAAACTTATAAACCCACCAGATAATGAATACAACACTTAGCAACTGCGGAAAGAACCAATTAAAAGACATGTCATGTGCAGATTCAGAGCTTGTGCATTTCAAAATTCAAAATACATCTGTAGTTGTTTCCTTCAATCAGCAGAACCTTTTGTAGAATTAAAAAGAATAATGTATCTGTTTCCGACAAATAAAGTTGATTGCAAGTTACATGCATGGGTAGTCTTTTTGTTTTTTTTTTTTGATTCATACATGCATGGGTAGTCTAAGTGTCAGAATACTTGCAGAGTAAGTAAATTACTTCACTGAGGATGAGAACCCCTTTCTTGGAATTTTGACATGCTACAAACTCATAGCTGACAAGATTCATTCCGTCCCGCAAGGAAGTGACAAGTGCTACATCTGATAAATAAGTCAAGCAGCAAAAATATAACCAAATTACTTCAGTTAATTTTTGGGGTAAGAGAAATGGCTAATATTGTACTGCATTTTCAGTATTTAGTGATTGAGATGGCTTCTCCAGTTAATGTACAATGAACATGTAATGTTGGGGGCTTGGTAGTCATAAATAAAAGCATAAACTGAATTTAATCTATCAGACTTGAATAAGATTTAAGCAAGAGCTATTATTACCAGTGATAGCATAAATTGCACACAAGGCAGCAAAGTCGAGAGAACGGTCCTGCAAAAAAAAACATATTGCTTCAAATATTTTTAAAAACTCATGTGCATCATATTGATAATCATGAGTCATAAGAAAATTAAAATAAAACTAAGAATGATAATCACTCTGCAACTAAAATGTCTTCATGCTGTATGTGATTATTTTCAGGAGCTCTACTCTCTGCTATAGGTCAAAGTATATTTCTCTTATGATGAATAAAAATAGATATAACGTGAGCAAAAATTTTGGAAGACTCTGTGCAGATGCATATTTAAGCAGCAAAAACAATATAACTGACGTCCCAAGTAAAATGCTAACCAGATGATGAATTGGAACTGCGGTCAACGTTCCGAATCTTCCATTGACCCGCCCCACAATTTCATGAACCTGACTTGTAAGTTTTTGATCTGTGAAGATTAATGAATCGAAACTAAATCAAATGACATTTTGGAATGGGAAAGACACATAAATAACAGTATAAGCTTAAAGGTAAAAAAAGAAAGGAAAAGGAAATTTTGCATGAGCGTACATTCAGCAACTTCTGTCCTTGTAGGTACAGCAATTTGCAGCAAAACCACCTTATCACGCCATTCCGGACTATCCTCTAGAAATTTTTCAAATGCTAGTATCTTTTGAGGAATTCCTTTGATCATATCAAGGCGATCCACACCAAGCATTACCTGAAAGAAATTTAGTTTTAATACAAAGACCAGATGAAAGTTAAGAACTAGTAAGGAAAGGCGAAACAAATTAAACTGGAAACGAAGTTAAATCAAACTCAGTTCAAGATAGTCATGTAAGACTTTCACAATAACACTTCACATATCCTTAAAATTCATTAGCGTATAAAGTCAAGGGGCGGGAAATCTAATCATACTAGAAGTCATGAACATACCACCCTTCCAGCAAATCGTTCTTTTAATTCTCTAATGTATTCCTGGACCTTAGGAACTTCAAGAGCACGAGTAAACCTTTCTGAATCGATTCCTATTGGGAACTGTATTCAGCAAATAAAGGAGAAAAATACGAGGTCGTGATTTATGAGGAAATTATTATAAAAAAAAAAAAACAGGCGAATATTCCACATAACTTCATGTGAACTTACTGCAGCCACACGAGTTAGTCTCCCTTGATCCTCTACACCTTCAGGAGTACCTTCTAGTCCGAGAATACGAGCGCAAGCACTTACAAAATGTCTTGCATAATCATAGGTGTGGAAACTGGAAATAAATCCAACTTTTGAAGAGTTAGCGAGGTTAATATAAAGTTAAGAGAACAGATGTGCTCAAATATTAGACTTCAATAAAGAAATCACATAACTGAAACCAGCCTTCCTGGCACATAACAAAATGCTTAATAGGCAATGCTAGTTGATAAATTGGCCGCTCTTGGTTTGAATTCTTAATTTTATAAAGAAAGTAAAGAAAAACCTTGCTTTCCTTTACAAATCAGATATGCTATGTTATTGTTGAAATTCATATTTGCATTATAAACAGTCTTTGGAAGGGCTTGAAAATCACTTTCTATACTTCTTGAGTTGCTTTCTTGATCTCACTAAATTCTAGATGTGTGATCCATTATGGAGTGAGAAGCATATTACCCAACCAAATCCGCACATAAAACCGCACGCAGTAGTTCTGATCGTGATGGCAGTGTTCGGTGGATCTCGGAAGATGGGAAAGGCGTATGTAAAAACCATCCAACTTTCATCTGGCTGTTATAATCCTTCAGGCATTTTGGAAGAAACATGAGATGATAATCATGGCACCAAATAATATCACCCTCTTCATAGTGTTCGATGACCACGTCAGCGAACATTTGGTTTGCCTTTTTGTATGCAGCAAACTGCGACTGGAAACTCCTGGTAGTTGCCAGGCGGTCCTCTTGTGGAAGTCCAAGATAGTGGAAAAGAGGCCATAAAATGTTGTTGCAGTACCCGTTGTAATACAGGTGAACAGTCTCTTCATCCAGAAAAACAGGTATGCACCGCTGCAGTAAACCAAAAAAAAATATTAAAGAGCAGTATCCAGGATCAGAGATGTTAGAGCGTTGCACTTTGTTTGAAAATTTATGGCGATAGAACTAAATTCCCAAAGACTTGTTTCACCTTCTCAGCTAGAGCCTTAGTGAGTGCCTTCTGCCCAATCTCGTCCGGTACGTTAACACCTGCCCAGCCAATCCATCGTGCCTCAAAGTCCGTCACACCTGCAAGTTGCATTTACGAGCATTAGCACAAATCGAATGCAAATTGATGAGATACAAATGAGCAACAAAGTAAATCACCAGAAAAGTGCAGTACAAACTATATGCTCACCCAAAAGAGCGCTCACTAGACCTCCTGCACTTATATCAAGTGACCACGAATCTTCACCCTTTCTCACTGCAGATACAGGAAGTCTATTAGCAACCACTAACAATCTCTGTTTGATCGGCCTGCGCTCAGGACTTTCCGACTCTTCGCTTTCCACGTTGTGCTCTGTAGACGAAGATCCTGAAGAAGAGTCAATATCAGAAATCTCAAGCCCTCTGATGCCGTCAGTGGCATCAGAGGTTCTACCACTTCTTCTCAGCTCCCTTTCTCTCAAGAGCCGCCCCACTCGGGTGTTGGGAACTTGTGATTTGTCGTTATGGTTGTTACGAGCCATATATGAAAATGCAGGTTTACCTCCAAAAAGTTCAATACAGTTCAAGTATGCCACAAACCAGTTGCCCTGCATTTTGATTATCACAAATTGAGTAACTATAAGTAATTGCACAAAAATCTGCAAGTATCTATCAGCATAGATTTTGATGCTAAAGGACATTTTGCAACAGACATTTGACTCTTGAGGACAGACAACGAAAAAGATAAACAAAGAAATGAGATCCATAGAATTTTGTTGGGGGGAGTGGGGTCTACCATCATTTCCCCGACATTGATAACTGAGATTATAATCATCCATTCGAAATTCGGTAGCCTAAGTTTGTCCAAGATAACAGATACCAAACAACTCTGATTCCACTGGATAAACAAATATCTGTACTAATGTGCATACTTTCTTACACGCAGAAAACATGCATATACATTCATTCAGAAACACATTTAGCAAAGAGAAAAAGGTGGGAAAGTGATTTTCCGTTGAAATTCTGATGTAGACTAAAACTCAAACACATTGCTTACATGAAAATAATCAAAAACAGCTGCTCAAGAAAGCATCAATAAAGAACATGGGAAAAGGGGGTAAAAAGGAAAATGCAACGCCTTACCAATTAATTCGATCACAAAATTATATCGAAGGAAAGCAAGCTCTCGCAGAACAGGGAGTTAAAACCAAGAATTGGTGGTCTAGTTAAGAATAGAGAGAGAAAGTAGTAGTGAAGTGGCGGTGGTTGGAAGATTCTCCGGGTGGCAGAGAAATAGGATAGCCAGAGAGAAACAAGGAGCGAAGACGACGAATCCTCGTGTACGCTTTACAAGGTATGTAAAGCCTAACAGCCATGCAGATGAAACCAAAGATTTTCAACTAACTACTGGAAAACGTAGTAGAAAACTTTCTCGCTCCTAAAAAAAAAGCTAGAAAAAAAAACCTGGGGGCTACTTACTGCTTACGGACAAGGAGTGAGAAAACCACTGTAGTAAGTACTGTATCCGTATGCGTGTGTATGCTTTAAAATATAATAATTTACACATCAACGTCAGTGTCCGTGTAATTAAGCAGGTTTTTGGGTTTAATTTGTTTAATCCTAAATTGGATGGGCGTGTGATTAGTTTAATTAATTATTATATTATCCAAATGGGTCTTTGTGTGGGGAAATGTACCTTTCTGTTTTTTAGGTGGGCCCAACTACGGGATTATGATTTCCGGGTTCTATGGAATATTTGAACTAGTGATACGAAGTTACATGTGAGGTTAAATAATCACCCACCAAGCACAAATATACACAGATGTGTTAATAACAGGGTGTAGCGTAAACTTTTTCGGGCGGATTTTCATGTGAATTGGTCCCGGAAATATACTTTACTTTTTATGCTATTTGCATTATCCTTTTCCTGCACAAATTACTGGAAATATAGCCAAAAAAAAAAAGTATCTAAGAAATTTTACTGTAGAAAAGCAGAGGAATTTTTAAACTTGTATTTGATCAAATAAGTGTTCATACACAACACGTGTTTGTCTGAACGCCTTTTTTATTAATTTAATTTTTTTTTTAAATTGACTTATTTAATATATTTTTAACTCATCCTAATCATATATACCCCACACTGATTAATCAGTATACGAAAGCACTAAAACCAACCAATCATAAAATCTTATTCGGCTACAGAGAGCTATTGTATTGATAGCTGCACATACTAGTCACTAACTAGTTCCGTGGTCCCAAATGGATATAGACACGTGAAAAAATCCGCATCTGTCAGACCAGGTTCCTAAAGGGGATTCGTAATGCAGAAGCTATAGCTCTACAGTCTCCACAAACCATGCAACTGCATCTCTCATTTTTTTGCCCCCCTTTGGCCATGGAATTTAATAGCATTAGCATAGGATAGCTACTCCAATTAATAATACTGAAATGCTAATTGCAGCGGGCCGTTTACTGAAATTGACTTATACGCAGCGGTAGTGTTATTTCTCACTTTTCAAACTTTCTAAAAAAGTCGAAACTCTCTCGACTCAAAAATTCCAAAATCTTTAATAATACTCTTTAGAAAATATTTAATTGCTAACAAGAGTTAATTACTAAAGTACCCCCCAAATACAGACCATGACAAGAATGAAAGCACCTCAATCATACGTTGTATGCCAATTAAGATGGTGGGAAGGAGGAGTAGCAAGTAGCAAGTAGGCCAAATGGGAAAGTTAATGGGGACAGAAAAGAAGAGCATGTACCCTTTGTTTTTTCTCTGTCAAACAAAGGCAAGTGGAGAAACGTATGGCTTTCACAACCAAGCACGAAAATCCACGAAGACCGCTTTTCTAGTAAATTGAAGCTATGTACAAAACACAAGTGTCCATTTTTCACAGAGAAGAATGATTGTTAATCTGGAACTGAAACATATCTAATTTTCATGTTTGTATTGTTCAATAAACTGAGTCCTAATACAGTTACAAATGCATGATTTTCACTAATAACCGAACAAGGCATTGTAAAACTGGGATCGGTCCTTCGAGTTTATTCTATGTTACACTTTTGTGAGTATACTATCCAGACAATGACGATATATTAGACGGACTTTGTATTACACTCGATGTAGCATGTCATTGGTCAACTTAACCAAATATATATAACTAAAATATAAGAGTAACATGGTCCCCTGCTCCTATTTAACTTTTCATCTTCTAACCTCTTTATCATTTCATTTTATTTTATTTTATTTTTCTTTTTAGTTTACTTCTTCGTTCTGAATCTTCTAGTTCTCATCACCAAAACCGACACCAATTCACAGAGTCGAGCTAGCTGTGAGCCGATCCACGGCCACAGAGTCCCCCTCCTCCATATAGCTCCCCACCCTCAGCCTTAAAATAAATGTATACTGTTCCATGTATGTATTTATAAGGGATTTAAAGAATATATGTAGATCACAATTGATATCTATCAAGTAAAACCTACTGGTGTTAGCAAATAACGGCAAAAATGGAAATCAAACAGTCGAAAGCACCAAAACTAGCAACATGCGAACGAGACCAACACCAGGCTTTAATTTCTTACTCAGGAATTTCCCCGGATTTTTCCTATTACCCATACTGTAAATCAGATTTAAATCATCTTTAAGCAGAGGATAACAGGGCAATTACCTTGAGCCATAATTGTACATGACACTTATAGAAAAGGAAGCACATTAAAATAACACAGCACGAGGGTAAGGAACTTACTTGATCGGTATCCGATTTCTTCCGAGGAATCAAAAATTTAAGACCGCTGGTAGTTCCCTCCTACTTCAGTACTGCAACCATAAAAAATAACTTCCTCGTTAGAATACGAAATCAAACCAAAAGTAATCAACCTCAAAATAAAAAAAAAACAACGATACTTTTCGTTATTGTCTGCCAGTTAACAAATGTGATTACAAAATACTCGTATCATGAAAAACACTTAGCAAAGAGTTCTATATATACAACATTTATATTCTAATCCAAAATTGAAAGCCTAAGACCATGCTTTGGCTTCCCCTTAAACAAATTTCCCCAATAATAGCTTTACATTCCTGGATTATACACAGGACTTTGTGAAATGACATCCCGATCATCGTACCATTGTCATGATTTACAAACTCACATCAAGACTACCTCTCGACAAATCAAAATTCGTGATAAACTCATGTGCGCTTGTGTCTTTTTTTCTCATTCATAACCGTAATCTTTTATCGAGACTAGTCCGTTTGTTTCTACTTCAATCAGCAACCTACTCGGTAATAACATCAGATAGTCGATCACCATCTACAAGACATACAGAACAACAATTTTCTGTTTTCGTCCTTACTTCTTATATTCTCCAATCTAATCAGGGATCAAATTTTGCCAACAGTTCCTCATCACAATCATTGAGAATAACAACGTTCTCCACTACACTCGGGGCTTGCTTCTCAACTAAATCACAAGTTTCAAACATAATATTTTCAGATCAGTTATTTGACTCGTCCTCGTTTTAACATCGAAGTAATATGATGCATGTTCATAATATTGATTAAGATTCAGAAGATAAACAGGCTATAATCCAATATTCATTTCCGTGCCTCTTTCTGAACGAAAACTATCTGGTATATTCTTCAATCCCCGCCGAATAGTTTCCGTTCCAAACTTCAACCATTTTTTTCCCCAATTTATTTCAAAACCACTTCCGATACAGTAAAAATACATCAATTAAACATCTACGGTTTCCATATCATTAGTAGATCGTTTGCCAACGACAAAATTTGTTTCAGCATACAGTCAATTCCAGAACTCAAACTCCATAACCGATTTCCATATTCAAAGCAATAATCAACGGAAATGCTACGTAGTCAGTCAATCAATAGCATCAACCAAATAAATAATAGAAAAAAAGCAACATTCGCAGGCAATTTCAAGCAGCTAATTCGATTCACAGTACAATCATTAATCTGGATCGCAAACAAATTCATACTTACAGCAGAAGATCAGAAAAACATTACAGACGTCGAATTAAATCGCCGGACTCGGTGCTCAATTTAGAGAGAGAATTAAGCACGAACGTAATTCGCTGCAGAGAAGAGGGGGCGGAGAATGAAAACTGACCTGAAAATTGAAGGAATGTTGACGTCAGTATTCGTTAAAAGCACCGATGCTGATTCGTCTCGGCTCCGTTACAACGGCTCTTGGCAATGGAGAGAAGACGAATGAGTTCTCGAGAAGAAAGCTTAAAGGACGGAATCTAAAGCAGAGAGCATTTAGCTTTTATATATATATATGTGAAGAGAGAGAGAGAGAGATATATAGAGAGAGAGAAAGAGAGAGAGAAACGGTTTTTTTATGAGTATATATAGTGGTATAAACTATGGTGCTGGTGCGGTGCGTATTACGTCATGCGTATCAATACGCGTGTGCTCTCGGGATATAAAATTGTGTGTGTATATGTTGTATCTATATGTAGTGAGAGAGAGAGGGGGGAAGAGAGAGAGAGAGAGAGAGAATCGGTGCAGACTGTGGTGAAATTGGCATTTTGTATATATATGATGGTGGCTATTGGGTAAATGCAGTTGCAGGGGGGAGGGGGGGTGGGGTGGGGGTGGGGGGTAGTGGCGGGAGACAGGTTGTTCTGTGCTGCCCAATCATTTGGAGGGAATTGTTTCTTCTGTTTTTTTTTTTTTTTCAAATTGATGAATATATTCAAACAAATTCTCATATTTTCAGTTGCAACTAACAAGCCAAATAAAATCAAAAGCCTAGGGGTTGTTTGGCTAAACTAATAAACTTTTCAAAATATCTTATAAAATATCTAAATATTTATAAGCTTTTATAAAAGGGTTGGGTGATTTAATTTGAAATTATTTTTTTCTCAATCAAGTAAATCGGGCTCCTCTTTCTCAATCGAAATATGTAACATAACAAGCGTACTACTGAAAACTCCTATTTAATTCAATATAAAGTACACATCCTCTAATAGTGTACAGTCGTCAGATCCCACTTTATATCGCACATTTATGGGTATAAGTTTGGTGTATCTCACTATTAGTCGTTTAGATATTATATATGATATTCATGTCGTTAGCCCGTTTGTTACATCTCTTACTACAGATTATTG